GGCTGGGACCAATAATATTTGGGAGCCACTGTCAAGTTCATCTCTGGAATGAACTCTGAACTCTCGTCTAACTGCTTTGGGCTTCACTGGGTGCCCATTAACTCAGCTGAGAACCCCAAGCAAAAGAAGATGGTTTATTTGGGGTGGGAGGGGGTCTTCAAGACCTGGAATAACCCACTTCTTCCCTAGTCTTCCTGGCCCTCCACTCACCTGAGCCTCACCCTCCATCTCGAGATGGAGATCATCAAACCATCAAACCGTCCCATTTCCAATGAAAGGCTCGGTGCCACTGCTCCCAGCTTTTCAAAAAAGCAGCTAATGAATCCATCAATCAAGCAATTGGTGTCACCCGAAGGAGACAAGTCCTATGATTACCTTGCCAGATAAATGGTGTTTTCTTTAATTGAAGTGTAATTTAGATGGGATCAAATACATGGCTCTGAAGGGTAGAGCACTTGATGATTTTAACCGTGGTACAAGGTGTGCTGTAAGAGTTCCATTTTGGGGATGGCGACAGAGCCAGGACACGGATTCCAGGGAGAGAGTGGAACCCCTTTGTTTTGTTTTGGTTTGGTTTTTGCACCCGGGGATGCACAGGGGTTACTCCTGGCTCTTGCACTCAGAAATTACTCCTGGCGGTGCTCAGGGGGCCATATGGGATGCTGGGAATCGAACCTGGGTCGGCTGCATGCAAGGCAAATGCCCTACCCACTGTGCTATCACTCCAGTCCCTGGAACCCCTTTGAGGACTGGCTGGGCCTCTTTGGGGACAGAGAGCTGGGCTTGGGGGCCACACTCAGCAGTGCCGACCTACGAATCCTTGCTATGTGCTCAGGGTGAGCCCACGGAGGTGCTCCGAGGACTGTAAGTATAGCTGGGATCACAGCAGAGTCGCTGACCTACTGGGCAAGGTCTCCACCCCAGTACTAGCTCCTCGGCCCTGACCCCTTCCAACAGACTCCGTGCCACTCACCTCTGAGCCTTTGGCTTCCCGGGCTGAAAACACAGCAGTGGGAGCACTAACTTCTAAAAGCCCTTTGACCTTACTCTGCCACTAAATGGGATGTTCAGGCAGGCCAGGGACGAGCAGTGAGATGGATCTGAATCCGCCCAGGAGTGCAGCTGCCTCCACAGCAGCCCCGGGCCTCACCAGCTTGGCCTGCTCCGTCTGCTCCAGGTCGCTACCAACCGTGGCACCTGGAGGCCCAACAGGGCTCCTCTGACGTCTGTTCTGCTCGAGGAGGTCAGAACACTTGACAGTTTTGTTTGTTGCTGCCGTTGCTGTAACATTTTCAGACGGCTAAAAACAAAGGAGTGGATTTGATGGTACATGAAAGTGACATAAAACTCCCATTTCAGAGCCCTTACACAGAGGGTTCTTGGAACGCAGCTCTGCACATCTGTTTACGGATTTGCCGCCGGCTGCTCCCACCCCACAAAGGTGAGCTGAGTACTTGGGACTCAGACCGCAGGGCCCTAAAGCTGAAAATATTTACTGTGCGGCCTTTTACAGAAAACACACTGACCCTGGGCTTAGAGCTAGCAGGGAACAGACTCTGGGCAGCGAAGTTCCCCCCCCCCCGCCCGTGTTTCAGTGCTGGGCTGGAAAGCCAAGAGCAAACACATTGGTAAATCAACCAGTGGGAAGGACGTACAGATTCACAAACGCAAAGAAATCCCAAGTCAAGTCCAATAATCCAGGGTGCTTTTTGGTCCTTGCTAAGAGAACTAAAAGAAAAAACAAAATCACTGGCTAAGACTAGAAAGGGCCAGAGAGGTAGCTCAGGGGGGCTGAAACTCACGCTTCGCACGTACGCAAGAGGCTCAGGTTCAAGTCCCAGCACCAACGGTCCCCTAAGCACAGCCAGAGGTAGCCCCTGAGCACTGCTGGGTGTGGCCCAAGATTAAAAAAGAACAGAGAAAGCAGAACACTGCAAACAGTCCAAGCTCCATCATTATGAACTGGTTCACCTCTCCTTTCAAACCATCCGGTAGAATGATGGGTCATAAAAGTGTTCATTCCCTTTGACCGAACAGTCTGACTCCTGAAAATTAACCCAACGGAAACAATTCAAACAGTGAAGCCTATCAAGAAGGCGACATCAGCAGTTTTGCTCACAAAATGCCCAGAAGCCACCTGAAACGTGTAACAAGAAAATTAATCAGTACGTTATGGTTCCTCAACTCAGGTAACAGACGTGAAGGCTAAGTCTATGAAAAGCACAGACTTAAATGAAATCTACATACAAACTAAGCGTGATGTATGAAGTTTCGGAAGAGCAGGAATATGCAATTAATACCTAGGCGAATGGTTAGAGATAAAGAGTCTAGGAAAATACTTAATTTCTAAAGACAACTGAACCAGCTTCGAAGGTCCCTACATGCTACCATACAGCCTTTTAAAATAAGAAGTCTTTGCAGGAGAAGAATACACACACACACACACACACACACACACACACACACACACACACACACCACAGAGCAGAAGTGAACCCCCGTAACACATTTCTTACAGAGTAGATGGTAATAAGCAGTACTTAACCCAACTTACTTTATATCTCAAATCACTTCAGAACTCTTCAGAAGACTCGCCATTTGGGCACTTGCCTTCCATGTTGCCGACCAGGGTTCAATCCCTGGCACTGCCTGCCCCCACCCCCAAGCACCTCCAGAAGTAACCCCTGAGCACAGAGTCAGGGATAGCCAACAACTGCTGAGTGTAGCTCCCGAACCCGAACCCCTCTAAAAGAAAACTCAAATTCAACCCATCACGCTGTATACATTAATCAGGTTCAACTTTATGGCTGTCAATTGTGCCTCAACATTTTTTTTAAAGAAATAAACGACACTCATAGTTTCCATTATCCTTAAGGAACACACTGACAAATGGGAAGAAAGAATTGTTCTTGATAAATATAAGTAGCATCACCCAGGTCTCATCCACAGCACCACATCTGGTCCCCATGTGGCTCAAAGTGCCCCCAAAAGCAGTAGAATCAACCTAGAAATCCAGCCCTTGTGTCTAACAATTTCTTTAGCACTAGAGTATTATTGAGCACTCTATTTAAAAAAAAAACCTCTACTTTTCTGTTTTTCTGATAATTTTCAAGTAATGTAGTCACCGGCCTATAATTTCTTTTTTGCTTTGTTTTGTTTTTTGAACCACACCAGTAGTGCTCAGGGCTTACTCCCGGCTCTGTGCTCAGGGATCAGTCCCAGTAGTAGGCAGGGGACCATATCTGGTGCTTGGGATCAAGCCAGGGTCCATAGTAGGCAAGGCCACCGCCTTATGCCCTGTACTATCTCCCCAGACCTATAAGTCAAGTTTAAATTAAAAATAAAGCACACTCAGGGGCTGGAGCGATAGCACAGTGGGTAGGGCATTTGTCTTGCACACGGCTGACCCAGGTTCGAATCCTAGCATTCCATATGGTCCCCTGAGTAACGCCAGGAGTAACTCCTGAGTGTAAAGCTAGGAGTAACCCCTGAGCATCGCTGGGTATGACCCAAAAAGCAAATAAATAAATAAATAAATAAAGCACACCCAAAGGCCTGGCGCACATGTTGTACACGCAGGAGCCTCAGGTTAAATCCAGGGCACTGCAGGTCCCCCAAGCATCAGGGGGTGTGGCCCAAAATGATGAAGACCATTAGGGGTCTGGACCGATAGCACAGTGGGGAGGGCGTTTCCCTTGTACGCAGCCAACCTGGGTTTGATCCCCAGTATCCCATATGGTCCCCCAAGCACTACCAGGAGTGACCCCTGAGCATTGCTGGGTGTAGCCCAAAAACTAAAAAAAAATAATGAAGAAGACCATCACCATGTTTTCCGCCCAGACTGAGTGATTTCACAGGCAGTGTAGGCACATCCCCATGAGGCCAAATGTTCGTTCCCCTAAGTGGACACTGAGAACTGAGCGGGCCCTGTGCACTGAGGGGCATAGTCCCCCAACCAAAAACTAAAATGTTCAAGACAGGTAAAAGATAAGAACTAAAACTTCTTAAAACTGGGGCTGGAGCGATATTACAGCAGGTAGGGCATTTGCCTTGCATGCAGCCGATCCGGGTTCGATTCCCAGCATCCCATATGGTCCCCTGAGCACTACCAGAATCACATTCATTTCTGGTCGCAGCCTGCTGTGAACTGAGAAGGCACTGAGAAGGGGACAGGGACATTGCTCAAAGGGATACAGCAAATGTTTTGCCCCTGGCACGTGTGTCCTAGTACCACCAGGAGCAGCTCCCCAGCTGCCAGTACCGCGAGGTGAGGCCCCCCAACCAATAAAAATCCAAAAGCATTCTCTCAAGTGCTCTGAGAAGGAATGGAGTGGGGTGGTCCGGAGAGCTGCATTTCTTTGCTCTTCCAGCATCGTTGGCTGCTTCCATCACAGTCCTTCTGCTGCGAGTGAGGTCCTATAGTGGACATCCTAACCACCTACAGATCGTGAACGGAGCTCATGCACATGGCACAGAGCAGGCATTCAAGAGATACTTAGGAAGCTGAATGCGGGGCTTGGTCTGTTCCTACGGTTATTCCCATTCGGTATGTTAATCATCTATGGGGAACGGACCACAGAAATGAGAATTCGCTTAGTGGTAGCAGAAAAATCAGCACATAGCAGATGGCAAGCTACATTCTAGATTCCCCTTCCCACCCCTGGCCACCTGGGAGAGGAACATCCATCCGAAAGACGGACCTGCCTTCCTCCTCAAGAAATTCATACAGTAGTTCACTGAAACCAGGCAGGTGTGGAGCAATTAAACAGAGAGTTGGCTTTAAATAGAGTGGGGAGAATGCAGGATCCCTAAGCACTGAGTCTGCCTGTCCAAGGATGTCCCCAGGGTCACTGTCAAACTCATGGAGCCACAGAGCAGGCTGGGTGATCACCAAGATCAAGTCTGAAGGGACAGCCTGCGGTCAGAGGGAGGCCGGGCGAGGCGAGGCCGCTGGGAGGGGAGCAGGAGAGGGAGAGCCAACACGAGCCCGGGACACTTACTCAAGAGCGAATTCTCCGTCTGGAAAACAGTTCTTCGGATCCCCAGCCTCATTGTTCCGCCCATGACGCCAGGGTTGTGTTCCGGCATGTCAATCACCTTCGAAAACAAAAGGAGTCGGGTTTTATCATCATGTCAAACTGTCCCTTCTCCGCTTTGTGGCTTTGCATTTGGAGGATGGTCACGGGGGGGAGGGCGGGGGAGGATGCTCTGACACAGGAAGGTCCCGCGTGCCTTCCTGCCTCCCCTTCGGCAGCTCATCACCCGCCCAAGAGGCATCAGGAGCCTCATGATGACCTTGCTCCGGTCACAACCTGTCAAAGCCAGGCTAGGCTCTGGGGGCTCCTACCTCCCACTCAGTGTGTGCCTGTGTGAGCTGCCCCCCTCACACCCCACCGCATTCCCTAACGACTTTCTAGAAGCAAAGCCACTAACACTGGCAGAAAAGCACAGGCGTACCCCTTGCCTGTACATCACCTGGCTACAACTGGAAGGTGGGTATCGACCTTTTAACACCTGGCAGGTGAACCTGTGCCAAGCCAGACTCTGAGCACCATTTCCCAGCAACACTGGCCCGCTGCATGGCTGGCTACATTCATTTAAGGCAGGCATATTGCTCCTTTTTTTTTTTTTGCTTTTTTTGGTCACACCCAGTGATGCTCAGGGGTTACTCCTGGCTCTGCACTCAGGAGTTACTCCTGGAAGTGCTGGGGGGACCATATGGGATGCTGGGAATCGAACCCGGGTCGGCCGCGTGCAATGCAAATGCCCTACCTGCTGTGCTATCGCTTTGGCACGTGTTGCTTTTTAATGATTTTTTTTTCACTGATTCGGGTAACATTACTCAACACCGAAGTGCCAATACCCCCCTGCCACCGTGCAGTTGACATTCCTCTGAGGTGACTTCGGTCTTCGTGGTGCCTGCTTGCTCTAGGGGCAAGGCCATTCCACACTTGATAGACTACACTGTACAGTGTTGAAGTACAGTGGGAAAGACAAACACTGTGTGGCTTGCTTTATTTTCATACTTGCTTTATGGAGGTGGTTTGGAACTAAATCTGTGAACTCTCGGAAGCATGGCTCGGAATCAAAAGCACAGTATGTATGAATAAAAAACAAAACAAAACAAACACACACACACAGACATACAGATCTCGGAACCGGGAAGCTCGCTGCAGAGTTGCCTTTGGCCTTTGCAATAGGCCACTTTCACTGGGTCACTCCAGATGGGAGCAGGTGCTGTCCCTCCGCCTGCCCCCTAGGAATCCTGGCGGCCACCAGCTTCTAGAACTCAACAAAAAGTCCAGGTAGGCAGGAGCAGAGGCAGCAAACGCCAGGCCTCACGGGACAGGGGAGGAGCTGGTCCCTCTCCTTCCTCACCCTCCCCACCCCAATGGGACCCTCAGATGATGCCCACAAACTGCCCCCAGCTACTTATTAAGCCCCTACACGGCCACGATCCAAAGACACACATGAATCTTGGAACCGAGCAGCTCACTGCAGAGATCTCTCCAGACCCTAATTATTAAAATTTTAGAATTCCTAGACCATGCGGCCGCTCTTGCAGCCGCACAACATTACATGCTCTCCTTAACAAGCAATACAAAACAAATTGTCTAGCATTGCTTTTTTTAGCAGGTTTGAGTGGTGGTGGGACTGGTGCCGAAATATTGAATGTAATCATAGTTGAGAGAAAGTATTGTGGAAACTGTCTGCCACACAGGCAGGGGAAGGGTTGGAATGGGAGGGATATACTGGGGATTTGGGTGGTAGAGAACGTGCACTGGTGAAGGGATGGGTGATCGATCACTGTATGATCGAAACTCAAACATGAAAGCTTTGTAACTGCATCTCATGGTGATTCAGTAAAAAAGGAAAAACCAACAAAATCCCATTTCTTTTGCAAAAGAGCTATTATTGTCCATGCCTGTGTTCCTTCTGTGTGTCAGAAAAATGGGTGCCATCCTGGATGTCCCTCACCTGGCTCAGCCGATTCGTCGGGCTCCATCCCTCTGTCCTCTGTGCCCGCCACAGCCATGCACAGCAACAGCTACCACCCAAATCGGGCCTGGGGCCAGACTCTCCTGACGGGCCTCCCTGTGTGCTGTTGGTGAGACCATAACGGGCATGGCTCCTGCTTGAAAGCCTCAGGCATGTGATACCCGCCCCTCAGCGCTCTGCTCACCGGGCATTTCCTCTAGGCCCTCGAGGTCTCTTCCTCTTGCCCCAGGGACTTGGCACATGCTCTTTCTTCCAATCCGAACGTCTATCCCTGGCCCCTGCCCTCTTGTCCTAGTAAACCATCCTCAGTCTCAAGGCCTTGGTTCCGCAATCCAACCGAAGCTGCTCTCCTGAGATGCCACGGCCTTGTCGTGTGCACCCAGAGAGCCGATTGTGTGCTGGACTTGGCGTGACAGGGCAGTCCCACTTGCTCCTCGGTACAGATGATGAGGACAGAGCTCACTCAGGCCGCGTGCACCCACAGAAGTTCCAGAAGGAAAGAGGATGTTCAGGGAACGCCTGCCCGCAGGCACTGGTCTGTATTCTCAACCTGTTCACTGTGAGCCCGGAGTTGGGGGGTTCGAACAACCGAGTTGGCCAGATCGTATGGAACTGCTGAGGCTTCCAGCTCATAAAACATTTCCTTTTGTTTGCTTTTTATTTTTTTTAACTCTACCCTAACTGCCAGATATTGCTTAATCGGAACCCCTGACACCAGAGATTTCTAGAGGGGAAATTTTTCCAAGAACTTCTCTGATCTTATCAGTGGCCCAGAACTTTCAAAGCCATCTGAACCCTATGTCCCAAGTTCAAGTCACTGAGGAGGAAGGGGTGGGGAAAAAAGCTTGATTACCAACCCCCCCAGATGAACGCAATGCTCAGCTCTGAAGTGCTCATGACCTTGGTTTCCTATCTTCTTCCTATAATTAAGGCCGGATTAAGTATTAGAAGATCATGACTGGGCATTAGCTTGCCGGTCACACACTGATGCTGTGTACAAATGCTGACCCCAGTGCTCTTTCTAGGAAAGGGCAGATAAGACTGGCTACACCACCAGACTCGGAAGCCCTAAGTTTATTCACTCTCAACTGCCCTTAAGTTCAAGTCCAGTAGTTTGCAATAGCTGGACTGGTGCTCATCTGCAAGAAAGGTCCTGGCGCTTAACACACGGAGCTCCCGGAGCATGGGGCCGAATGAGCTCACAGACACTGACACAATGGCATCACAATCAATATTTTTTGGGGGGGGCCACATCCGGTAGTGCTCAGGGCTTACTCCTGGCTCCATACTCCGGCATCATTCCTGGCGGGGCTCGGGGGGGAACTTGGGGTGCCAGGGATCAAACCTGGGTCAGCTGTGTACAAGGCCAAGTGTCCTACCCACTGTAGTATTACTCCAGCCCCCCACACAAAAAAATATTCTTATTACAAATAAAGGATTTTATTTCTGCCCTAGTGGTCAACGAAATATTTCCCCAATTTTGCCCAGCCTGAATGTATGGAAAGGTTGGAAAACACTGGTCTGAAGCAACTAAAACCTTCTAGGAACCCACAGCAAACAGACCCCCCAGGGTGCTTCTCCGTGGTGCTTCGGTCCACACTTCCCTGCATTGCTTGACATAGCGCTTCACTGTCCGCCTGTTGTTCATCGATTTGCTTAAGCGGGCACCAGTAATGTCTCACAACAAATTGTGAGACTTGTTACTGTTTTTTTCTTTTTTGGGTCACACCCGGAGATGCACAGGGGTTACTCCTGGCTCTGTGCTCAGGAATTACCCCGGAAGTGCTCAGGGGACCATATGGGATGCTGGGAATCAAACCCAGGTTGGCCGCGTGCAAGGCAAACGCCCTACCCACCGTGCTATTGCTTCAGCCCCTTGTTACTATTTTTGGCATATTGAATACATCACAAGGAGCTTGCCAGGCTTTGCCGTGTGGGTGAGATACTCTCGGTAGTTTGCCGGGCTCTCTGAGAGGGTCAGAGTAATCAAACCTGGGTCGACCGCGTGTAAGCCAAACGCCCTACCCACTGTGCTATTGCTCCAGCCTGCATTGCTTGACATAACCAAGGAAATTAATGTAGTTTGTTCTATTTATTTGTTTGTTTTTGAGGGGTTTGTTTGGTTTGTTTTAATTTGGGGGCCATACCCAGTGATGTTCAGGGGTTACTTCTGGCTCTATAGCCTGGTGGGCTCGGGAGTGGGAGGGACCATGGGATGCTGAGGATAGAAACCCGGTCTGTCATGGGCAAGGTAAATGCCCTAAATGCTGTGCAATCACTCCAGCCCTTGTTTATTGGTATTCCAGAAACAGTCTGCTAGAACCCAATAGGAACTGTCAAATTCTGAGTCCATAAAACCTGCCTTACTGATTACTAGGATGAACCTGACAATCTATCAATACTCAGAACTAGCAGGAATTAGTTCCAAAATTAATGTAGGGATGAAGAGAGAAAAGGAATATGCACTGAGCATGGTCTGAAGATTTTTGGCAGAGCAGCTGGAAAATGTGTGTGTGTGTGTGTGTGCATGCGTGCACACATGCGTGTGGAAACACAGACCTGAAGAACAAGAGGAATGCTTTGAAAGAAAGAAGAATGACCTGAGAAGCTTGGGAGGAAGTGAGGGTCACTGATCCGTTTCATTAGGGGGTCTTTTGGAACTAGCAACTTCGAAAACTTTGTACATTATCTCATTTTAATGGAACCACACACTGAAGGCACCAATGGTGATGTTTATCATATGGATTCATGGGTTCCCAAACTTGCTCAGTCTACTGCCACCATAGAATGTTCGAGAAAAGGTGAAGGAGCAGGGGAAGAAGCTTTCCAAGCCCAGATCATACGCTGGACATCAGAGACAGGTGCCACCATGCCTCTGGTCTGCCCAGGGGGCCTGGCTGGGGTTGTCCAGCCTAGACTCAGAGAAGATGGCTCAGATCAGGGCAGTAGAGGGGATTCCAACACCCGAAGGGGTCCAGAAAAGCAACTGAAACCTGCATTCATTTTAGTCCCAACATCCCCCAAATGTTGCCTAGATTTTGGCATCTCAGGGTCCAATGCCTCTGCCACTGGCACAGAGCCCCGTGGCCAACCGCGAT